AACAACCATCCGTTTTGTTAACGTCTAGGCAAATTCCCTATTTAATCGCCTATGCTGCCAGACAGATATCCTCGCCTTCTTATGCCCACTGGTCGTCATCTTGATTGCCACCAACAGTAATAGGGTATCGGAACCTTCGTCGTTTTTTTTTGGCCTGTTGTGGACATTGGTAATCATGGTGATCAGATCTCCAACAGTCCCGAAGAGCTTTTAGTCACAAATCAAACGGAGAGGCATGTCCCCAGAGGAAGGGGAGGGGAGAGGGTTCGACCGAACAACGTGCAGTTTTTAAAAGTCAATATGACATGCCCTTATGGCCTGAATGTACGAATTGTGCGGGGCTTTGCTCGCTTGGTTATATCTACTCGTGAATCGTTTTTAGTAACTAGAGAACCGGGAATAGTAAAGTATGACAAAAAGTTTGTAAAAAGCCTAAACAAGCAATAAGAGAGCAGGTCCGTTAAAACTGATCTGGCATCACTTTGATAATCGGTGGTTATTTATTATTTTCGCTTTGTACAGAGAAAGGCATGGATCTTTTGGCTCAACTTGGTCTATTAACGGACATGCAGTTTTCTTGTCCTACTGGATTGACAGGATCGTTTGCTAGAGGTTTGTGAGTCAACTAAATTTCTAAATAGCCTGTGATGTTGGACCTGAATATATGTGGAAGTAAAAAGGGGAGGGGTAGAACATGTCACATGAATGGCTTGTGACATTGGGGGGAGTACTACAATCTTAGACAAAAACCTTGAAACACTTTGGAAAATTTTGCCCCCTTTCGTTCCCCTCCTCTACTTCCTTTTTGCACTGTTGTTGTAGCCACGTAACTTTGCAATCACATGCCAACGTTGCGGAGGGCAAGGGACGTGCACAGGTGTTTCAAGGATTTTTGGCGAGGACTGTAGAACAAACAGCCTAAAACAATGCGCCATAATTAATGGGCGCTGCTGCTCAAGAATAAAGATGTTATTGAGAGCTAGCTTGGGAAAGCTGCCAGCAAGACTGAGAGCAGTGCCTTTTCAGCCAGTCTAGTCGAGGACTGGCAGGTATAGAAAGAACGGAGGGCCCGAGAGGGGAACTGGAAAGAAGCAGACGGTTCCCAGTTTCCCTTGGCTGGCCACTTTTTCCCGTTCGCTTTGCTCGTTTTGCTCGCTCACACGACCATTCTTGGCAATTGCTCGCAGTCTAGCAGATAGCCTGAAAATGAATTTGCCGGGTACTATTATTCTACTCTTACTTCATTTAGTCGCATGTTTTTAAGAGAGCATATGCATGTGAGTTCTCAAAATCGTTTGTTTTGTCCTGGTCTACGATCTTGAACAGTCAAACAGTGGTTCCACTCAGAGCACACTCTCTCTTTAGATGAGTAGTGCTCGTCTAATTAAAACTACAACGGAAAATAAGAAAATAATACTGGCAAAGAATTTAGGGCTTAGTAACTAGGTCTGGAACTATCGCGTACAGTCAGACACGATCACACGACTATGCAAATATGCCGTTCCAGACATCGAGCACTCTTCTTTATCTTGGCTGTCAAGCGGACCGATGCAACTGGAGGCGGGAGACGGGACAGGCTGAGGCCTTCGCGTCTCGCGTCTCGGGTCTCACGTGTTGCGCGTGCCTCTCCAATACCTCGCTTCATGTTTTTCCAAAGCGGTATTCAATACAAATATCCATTTTCATTTTATTTTACAAAAGAAATAATTGAGGTTTAGAGACATACTTTTATCCCTGCTTTTTACCTTTATTACAGTGGAAAGTGAATGGCTGTTTGTTCCGAACAGTATTACTCCTCCTGCATTGTATTTCAATATGACAAAACTTGGTGCTTGGTCAAACACCGTGGATTACATTGAGGTAAGGTTTAACAGGGCAGCAGGTTAAAACGTTTGGCTGTAATAAAACAGCAAAGATAATAACGACTTGAGCTTTTGCGATACTTCGGACGAAGAAACGTCTTTGGATAGGCTAAAGGAAAACAAAGGGTCAATTATTTGAACGTAGTTTAGCCAGTGTTTAACAAAACCGCGTTCTAAGCCGTTTTCAACTTGAACAACGGTTTAATCTAAACACCATTTATTGTGAACGGTTTTGTGAAAGCATATAGAGTAGACTAGAAGAGCATTTATATTCTTAAATTTACTCACCAAGGAAGGGATCTGGAGGTCCAAAGAATTGCTAAACCCGCGGCTTAAGTTAGACTTCGTTCAACTAACCGGTCCGAAATGTTGTCCGTTATTAAGGATGTGCCTCACTTTACGCATGCGTCCTGGAATTTATTTACCCAACAGTTTTACGGAAGCTAAGGCCTTTAAGACCCAAAGCCCGCTAAAATGGAAGTGTTTTGGCGCGAAGATACGCCCTCGGGACCGCTAGGTAGCGTTGTTAATGGCGAGAGTCCAAAATAGGGGGATGCGGGAAAAAATTCATTGAAAATACTTCCTTTATATATAAAATGTGGCTTTATAATAGGGTTGACTGTAGAATCAACTCAAGGGCGACAAATAATTGGACTGACTGGACAAACTTATTAATGGCAACGAGACTTTAAGAGTGGTTTGAATTTATGGAGAAGAAGGGATTGAAATTGAGAGCAGCAGAAAAAGCGTTATTCCTAACTAAAAAGAGCAATTAGGTGATAAGGAGGTAAAAAGCTAGGAGACCCTGAACTATTTGTAGGACGCATCTTCTTAGGACTCTGTCTCATGGTATTTTTTGGTTTCCTTCCCTTAGGAATGCTTGGATGTTGTGAAAAAGAACCTTCAAGCTTTCTTCAATGAGGAACAAAGAAATCTGGCCAAGCGACTCGTAGGTATGGTAACAGCAGGACTTTTTCACTCACGCTTTTTTTTCATCTAATGAATGACAACATCTCTCACCGTGAGATCAGTGTCCGTACTGTGGAAGGTTATTTGTCGTATTCCTTCGCGAACTCTGATTTCTTTCTTTCTCTGACATTCATAACGTAACGAATATCCGATCCTCTTTATACTTTTGTCATTGTTTCAGGGCATATCACGTTCGAAGCGTTGGGAATATGCGAAGTGTACAAGATCTCGGAGATTGCCTCTGTCCTAGTAGATGCTGTTATCTCCTTGGGAAGAAACAAAGCATCTAGCGACTGGGTACGGACAGCATTTAGCGTTCTTATATTTTTGAAAGTAGAAGTCGGTCAAGTTCCTCTTGGCATGTTTATTTCCCGTTTTGGTCACACGATAACCGTTTAGAATTGAATAATATATATACCTCTTTAGTTTGTATGTTTTTGTTTTTCCCATGAAGTTCTCAGGGGAATTTGCCCCTTTGCTTTTCATAAATTATGCGTACATACGCACGGGGATGAGAGGAACTTCGAATGAAACTGTTATCAAGGGTATTATCACATCACCCACAATGGGAAAACAAAACACACAAGGTAAAGAGGTCTATTGTGTCTGTTCTTCAGTGTAAGCTGTACGTGTTCATTTAAATGATTTAGGTATAAAAGAGGTGAAGGGTGCATGAGCCAAGATGACCTACTCGGCCAGTTTTTAAGCCGTTTTTCTATAGCATAAAGCACCTAGGAGTATTGCTTCTTCCCACCTGGATGTAGCTTGAGAAAAACAGCCGACATTTCGCGACGCCACCACTGGTATACCTGCAAAATGACGTCTTAGGAACGAGCGCAGAAATTCCCTACTGACGACGCGTTATCACCTAGATCTGGGTAGTACTGCTGATTGGTCGCCTCGCGTGGAAAACGTCCTTTGACCTATCAGTAGCACTACCGAGATCAGTATGGAATTCCTGCGTTTGTTCCTAAGACGTCATTTCACGAAGGAACAAGTAGTGGCATCGCGAAATGTCCGCTGCTTTCTCAGGATGCCCTGGATGAGATCCTAGGCCATCGCAGGGCTACCCCCAGCAGTAGATCGCCACGCCCGGTATCCATGTCTAGACCTGGGTAGAGTGAGACATAGTAGAGCGTGGTTGTTTTGTCTAACAGATCTTAAAGATCCG